TTCTGCTTTACTGGCTGGCTGAGAGTCATGGTGAATCGCAGGAAGCCGGGGGGGCAGGGCCTTGTGTCCCCCCACACTCCGTGACACCGGGGACCCCTCGCCCGGCGCTGAGATGCGCCCACCTCTGGGGTGGGGCGGCTGGTTATAAGGGGACCCCTCGCCCAGCGCTGAGATGCAGCCACCTCTGGGGCGGGGCAGCCGGTTATATGGGGACCCCTCGCCTGTCACAGAACAGGCGCTAACCAGCTGCTGCTCACCTGCTGTTCGGCACCTTGTCCCCGACATCGGCTCTCTGGGGAAGGCTCCTCTCTGCTTTCCGCTTCTCCTGGGGACAGAAGGCAAGAGGGAAAGGATTAGGGAGAGAACCCAGGAGTCCTGGCTCCCAGCCCCCCCTGCTCTAACCCTCCAGGACCAATGCCCAGTTTGCTTTGCTGCTGTGTGGTGGCAGCCATGCAAGCCCAGCCCACTCACACCCCGGGCAGCCTGGCACGGTCCCGCTTGAAGGCTGAGGCAGCCCCTCCCCGCTTGGGCAGGGCTCTGGGCCCGCTGGCACGGCCCTGCCCCACAGCTGTGCCCCCAGCTGGCAGGAGCAGTGGGCCTGAGCCGGAACTAACCCTCAAAACTACATCTCCCAGGATGCACCATGGCCAGGGACTCCCAGGATGCAAGTGCCTCACTCTGAGGCCAGACCAGGGTGCACCATGGGAGATGAGTCCAGTCCACACAGGGAAAGGAGGCTTGTGGTTTCTAAACTACATCTCCCATGATGCAACTGCTTCCCTCACCCTGAGGCCAGACCGTGGTGCACCATGGGAGACGCAGTCCGACTAGGGAGCCCGGCGCATATGGGAGAATGGGAGGCGTGAGGCAAGCGAACCACAACTCCCACGAGGCAGTGCGGCAGCGGCGCCCGAGCAAGAGATTTCAGAGTTCGAATATTTGCCAGAATCCCTAAATTCTCTTGGGTCTGGTGGCAGGGTCACGACCCCATTTTGGGTCCAGTGCAATACCTCTCTCTGCCCTGGGCCAGTTCCTCCCCCCGCCCCCTAGGGGGCAGCCAACAGGCCCAGAGTGGAGCACTGCATCCTGGAAGTTGTAGTCTTCCCGGCCCCCCCTCACCTCCGTCGGGGCCGCGGCCTGCAAGCTGCTCTCCGGCTTGCCCGCCTCCTCCTCCTCCACGCTGCTGTCGATGAAGTCGATCTGCTCCAGCTCTCCGTTGGCTGCGGGGAGGAAAGTGTCAGCGGGGCCGCTCCGAGCCCCGCGAGCCCCAGGAAGCTGGGCACACGGGGGGTGGGGGCTGCCTGGCACGGCAGAGCTGTCACTGGCAGGAGAGGCCGCGGCAGGCACCTCCCCGCGGGTAACGCTGGGGCCCCACCTGGAGGGACCAGACCCTGCTCACCTGCCCGGTCCCGCTTCTCCTTCAGCTGGCGGGGATCACGCACCAGCTCCGCGATGCGGAACGACAGGTCGGAGAACTCGTCTGTGGACTGAGAGAGCAGAGGGGGCGGGTGACTCTCGGGGGGCACAGAGGGGGTCGGACGCTGGGACTGCCCGGGGCAGGTGAACAGGACCGACGCCGGTACATGAAACCGACTGATCCACGCCCGGCGTCGATGAAAGGGACTGACGGTGGTACGTGAAACCGACCAACCTGCACAACTGACCGATCTGCACCCGGCACCGATGAAAGGGACCGACACCGGTACGTGAAACTGACCGACACAAGGGAAACTGACCCGGAGCAGCACCTAACAAGCTGTGACCCCCCAGGCCAGCACCCCTAGTCTCCCGTCTCCCATCCAGCCCCTCTTCGCAGTCCGCCGGCTCCCACACAAAGCTGGCATCGCCTTGGAACGTAGCCCCCTGACACACTGCCCATCGCCCGGGGCTAGGAAGGGGGGGCCCTCGCTGCCCTGTGTGCTCCGGTTGGCACCAGCTCCCGGGAGAGCAGCACTTGGCTGGGGGCTGCGCGGTCCATACCTCGTTCCCAGACCACCGCTTGCTGCCGCTGTCGACGCTGTTGAAGCCCGAGTCCAAGCCGCCATACTGCCGGCCGGGGTAGAACTCGTCGGAGAGGCTGAGGGGCAGAGACAGGTGCCGGAGAAGGCGCTTCACAAACCAGCCCAGAGCCTGGGATCAGCCCAGTACAGAGAGACGGGCAGGGGAGTGACGGAACTTGGCACTTCCTCCCCAAGCTCTCAAGAAAGGGGCAGATCCAGAAATAGAACCCAGGAGTCCGGCTCCCAGCCCCCCCTGCTCTAACCCACCAGCCCCCACTGCCCTCCCAGAGCCGGG